TTGGTTTCAGTTGTGAGAAAAGTTTGCCCCAAAGAAACACTGGAGCAGATAAATCAATCTTTTTTAGGGTAGCTTAGTGGGTTTTGAGCACTTGAAATGACATTTGTGTTGTATTGACAGAATGGGTTGTTACACTCATTTTGTCATGTCAGAAGGCCCTGTACTAGTTGGAAGTATTGTTAACCAGTATTGATAAATTTGCTAAGAATAAAAGTTAGCTGGATCAACATTTTACTTGTGTAACAGCTTGCCATTTCTGGTTTGCTTCCTTGTTAGAGACCTGCGTGGCCATTAATAGGTCAGGAGGCTTACTATGACAGCTCAATTTAAAGCTCTAATTTTACTATTACAAGCATTAGGATCATAAGGAATACATAAATATGACCACTTAGTATTAAACAGAGGGGGTTATGGACTATGGCTGTACAGTGGCACCTGGCAGGGCTGCCTAGTTTTCAAATGAGGTGTTTCTCAGCTTTGTGCAGAAAGAGCTTACCCTGTAAAAAGGATGTAACTCCTGGATGGATATTTATGCAGAATTTCCCATTGCACCCTCTAAAGTCTTGATGTGTAGCTGTGGGTGTTGATTTCAAGCTGAAGAAAACCGAGTTTTGTTCTCTGCTTTTGCTATTCAGTTGCATGAAGACAGAATTAGTATTCCAGCAGTGGTGCACACTTTTCAGTTATTCCTTCTGCCATTGATTCTTAATAGACGATACCTACAGTTGCAAGTCTCTGTAGGAACAACAGATATAATGCTAGCACTATAAAAATTTTTTCTGTGATCCAAACCTTTCATGGATTGATTTACCTTTTGCATAGCACGTGGTGTCATGGTTGACATCATAGATTTGTACAGTGCCCTCAGTATTCTTGTAATTGGCTCAGAAGAAGATTCGATGCTCTGAATTACTGGTGGAATACCTTTCATTAAAGAGGTTATACAATTTATCTTTGAAATATCTTCACATGCTGCCTTTTCTAACCCATGAGGAAAATCTGCAGTGGTACAACCTAATGTAAATTTAATCTCCATTTATGCAACACATCGAAATTTTGCCATTACAGAGGAAGACTATGCAAAACTGTCAATCAGGTATCTTAAGTTTATTGCAAGCTTTTTGTTCCAAGTTTATCATGTGCTTAACAGCTTCATGATTATTATGGACTTTATAGATTTGCCATAGGAAACTACCCAAGAGGAGTAATTCTCAGCAGGACCTGAGAATAAGTGGTCATAATGGCACTTTCAGGCCTTAAAATCTGTGACTAGATAGGCTACTGCCGTTTGCCTATTCTACCCTCAATCTAAAGCAGCTAACTTTCTACTTCAGTAAATTTCCAAGAAGACACTTAATTGTAATTCCTATCTCATTCGGCAGTGCATTATTATGTTTACGTTACGTTACGTTACATTACGTCATATTATAATTTTTATTGTGAAGTACTCTCAAAATTGCTTGGAAAGAAAAACTGTTAGTGCAAATCTGTCACTAGAAAATAAGGGAATGAATTTTCAAAGACATTTGAGATGATACATAGGTGTACAAGGTCTTAGTGTTTTGCCAGCATTATTTGTACATGGTGTGTATTTATGTATGTCTGCATACTCAGATGTAAAATTTCTATAGAATTTGCTTTAATCATAACATCCCATACATGATTCTATAGACTATGTGAGCATTTGGCAAATCTAAGCTATGATATCAGTGTGCTGATTGAGATAGATCTTTGGTGGCTTTTTGTCACCCGTTTTTTAGAACTGGTGAGTACACATGACAGTCAAGTGGTCAAATGTATTGAAAGGGCCTGCAGGTCTTGTTAAACTCTGTCAGTTGAACCTGAGTCACTTACAATTTTGCTAGAGAAAAAGGAGTCAAAGCATGACAAGTTTAAAAAGGAAGTGTTGTATTAACTTTTTCTGGGAATTTAAAAATAGGTCTCGATCCTCAGAATTACAGGTCTCTGATGCTGAGAGTTATGTGTCAAGATTTAAGAACGCATTGTGGAGAAATTCCATAAAGCTCAACTCCATGCTCCTGTGATTCCAAGACTGAGAAACTGTTGGTCAGTCTTACCAACATGTGGGAATTCATGTTTGTAAGCTAATTCGTTCCAGCTACCAACAATGAGAGACTGACAGCGACAATCATTTTGAAGCCTGGCATGTTTTTTCTCCACTCATAGCTTTTGTTCTTGCAGCTTCAAAAAGATAACCTACATGCCTTTGTAACTTCTATGGTGTGTAGCAATCAGCTTAAACTCAAGATGGTCCTGGCTGTCTACCAGAATTAGCCAGCAATGGATTGCAATGTGTCGCTCCATGATTTGAACCTATATTTCACCATCAAATTGGATAGACATGAGAACTTGGCTTCCGATTATCTTCCCTTTATGCTACTAAAATGATGCCATGGGACAGACTCTCTTCAGTGCTGTGAGGTAGATCTTGCAAGGCCAAGTCATATTTTCAGGCCCTACTTTCTCACACCACTGAAGCCTGATTAAAATCTATGTTTTCAAATACAGAAATGGCTGGTATTCTTTTCCTAAAATGATATTTGTATTTTTTATGTGTACAGTGCAACGTTTATCTGATATACATTCTAAACTTCTTTAATTGCTCTATCTGCAAAGCGAGCAACACTTATTTATCCATCAGACTTTCCTAAATGTGGTCAAACATAGCTGCTGTCATCATAATCGGAGCCAGTTGTTTAAATGCTCAGTTGTGAGTGTCTAGTGAAATAACTTTAAATAACAAGACAAACACTACAGCTGCCAACCCAAAGTAATCTTACACTGAGGGGGCGTGTGGCACAGAAAATTTCCTCTTTGTCATTTTGATTTGAGTTTGAAGCTGGACCTGGGCTTAGTTCCAGCTCAAAAAACTGTTCACTTCAAAGGCTCCTAAATCGTCCCAAGGAGCTAATTTTGGCAGCCAATTGTTTTTGTTTGGCCAGGCAGCCTAATAGCCAAAGCCGTCTGCTCCAGAAAATGAAGACTTCTTCAATGCTCAGACTTACCGTTCCTGATTTTGTCCTGATGTGGGGGTGTACACCTTTTATTGATCTCCCTGTCTCACCCCGAGTTCACTGCTTTTTGTGTTAAGCTGTACCTAATTCTGCTGCATGCAAATCAAAAATATATTTCCTATTTTCAAAATAAAGGATACTGCATTCTGCTCTGAATTACTGCTCAGTTCTAAATTACAGCAGTACTGTTTGCTTTCTCGGCAACTAAAGCTGGTTTTGTCCCATTCCCACGATCAATATTTAGCCTGGTGAATTTACTGAATTAAATATAATTACCCTCACTTTAGAAGGAAACTATTTGCAATTCTGCTGGAATTACAATAATATTTATTATAATAATTATATGGCCAATGTTTTCTACAGTAAGAAGGTGCTTGTGGTGTCAAACACACAATGAAAATAAAAATAATGTGCCACTCTTAAAGTATCATATAAAAATATGCAAATAGGCTGTTTCTGTTGGGTAAAGAAATTGGGCGATACAAGGCATAGAGCAATATTAAAAATTAAATCTCGTGGACAGTTAAGAATGGGGCAGCACTCACACACCTCACAGGGAGTTTTTCAATCTGAATGTATATGTCTACCTCACTGTTTTAAGATTTATGCAGCAGAACATTGGAGGAATCCTACCAAATATCTTCAAGTATGAGATGTAAGAAATGATGTGATCACCGTCTGTCAATGTGCGGTGAAGATGAAGCCTAGGTGGGCTGTGTCCGTGTTTACATGAAGCTTACCAGAACTTGTAGTAACTCTGTTGGTGAATATTCATCTGAGCTATGGTCTGTGGAATAGCTAAATCTAAGTTATTAAATAAAGTAAATGCTAATTCTGCTTCATGTCAGTTTTTCAGGAAATAAAAAAAGATAATTATGTTTTTAAGAGAAAACCAAACCCTTGTGAAATGTGTTGAAAGGTAAAATTCTAGCTTTCATTCACTCGTGGCCTCAGACATTTCGTGAAGACATCACATTTCCTTTTTTCACAGAGCATCGCGTTGAAGAGAGAAGACAGTAGAAAGTGTTCAGAACAACTTCATTCTTAAAAGTAAATCATCAGATCCTGGAAAGCTGTGGCATGTTACTTTCAGAAAGGGAAAGCAATGCAAACCAAATATTTTGTAATGCTGAAACTATTCTTAATATGTCATAGAATCATAGAATGGCCTAGGCTGGTTGCTCAAAGAAAATAATTTTATTAAAAATGCTTTAAAACCTTGATCTTAAACACCATGAACTTGCTGATCATTTGCTATGAGAATTTATTAGTAAGTAGCTAGATCAAAATGCTATTTAGAGTACTTACTTTATTTTACTTTCTTGTTTGTTTTCTGTATTTACATTGTACTCCTAAGGTACAGGTTCACTTGCAGTTAGCTTATTCAATTTAGTTTTGTAAGCATTTGTGTTTTAAAAATATTGAATGTAATAACCAATAAATTTTCCTGGAAGAAATATGCTCAGGAACCCCTCTGCTTGTATTTTTTCTGTCACTTTGTTGTCACTAATGCTTATTTTATTTATTTTTTTACCACTTCTTATGGAGGCAGTTTAATATCCACGTTTAAATGTTAAGCAAAGTAGAAAAGTTAAAGTACTGCAAGGATATCTTCCTGTCTTTAACCTACCTCATTGTCAGGGAGGAGATACACAAATGTATATGACATGATTTGCAAAAGACCATAAAATCTTTTTTTTTGGAACAGGCAATTTTTGCAGTGCTTATTGTTACTTACAGTTGGAAATAGAGATTTGCTTGCAACTAAATTGATCAATTCTTGTGCTCTTCAAAGTAATGTACATATAATATAAAAATGTATGTTTCATTAACAGTATTCTGCGTAATTTGCATTCTCACTCCTGTATTGAAATGTAACTAGAAAAAAACAGAGAGCTCTAAAATACCTTTAACAAAATAAAACCCAAACCTAACACTTTTTTTTTGTCTCTCTTATTTCTTTAGGACTTTCAAACAGTGTTACCATCGATTGTTCTCTTTGAAAAATTTGGAAAAACTTATTCCAGAGCTGGGCAAATAGTGTAATTTTCCTGTATACTGCACACTGTGAGACACCTGAGAAGTAACCAATAAATTTATTTCAGCAAATGCACAGTGTTTCTGTGACTGAGAGTCCCATAAAATACTCTTTCGGTAAAGTTATGCATGCTATGTCTGAAGCAGTGTTACTTGATTTTGCTTGATCTTTCAGCAATACAGCTTCCAAGATTTATAAAGAAATTTTCTTGGTGTGATTTTGCCAAAATCAAATGAAAATGTATTATCTTAGGAAAATAATTTCTGAAAATGCTATAAATTATTTTATGTAAATCCTTTATGATACGAAACCAAAGTAATCAAGTAAAAGACCTGGAATCACGTTGTATTTCTTACAGAGTTGTGGGTTTAACACTGAAGAAAGAAACAAAGTTTCAAAGTTACATCAAAGTTACATCTGTTGGTTTTTTCTCACAAATGTAAATGTGCCTGTTTCATCACTGTTGTCTGTAATCTTCAGTGTTAGTGTACATCCTTTTTGCATACTAATCCATTTCCACAGAAGGACAGGATGGGCTATTTACATGGAAGATAATATTTTAAATAATTTCAGCTCTTCTGTGGGTGACAGACCATCAGGGTTGAAAAAATAAAGACCCAACATACGCAATTTATTCTTAGATCCGTTTTTATATATCTACGTAATTTTCTTTTTCAATAGCTATGTATTTACTCCTTGTCCCCTGCTGAGCAGACTAGTATGTGGGTACATAATCATGGGATGCTTGGCGAAGAGGAACACATTTGATCACACAAACCTGATATCTGTGTGCTGTGTTCACTAGCAGCCAATCCTGAAAATTACTGAGAATCTTCAGAGCCCATTGCGTTTAAAACACTCAAAGAATTCAGCATCATGGGAAGACTCCAGCATTTCTTAAGAGCAAGTCATAAGCTAATTCTTAAAATGATGTGAGTGGATTTCCACAGGAGTTTTTTGCTGAATTCTGTAAGATACGCTGTTTGCTTTTCACATCATTTGTCTGTGTCTGAATCAAATGTACCTCTTTATCTTGGTAGGCTTTTTACTACTGAGTTTTGTTACATGATCCTTTTGTCCCCTACAAATGTGCAGAAAACTTCCACGAGATGTCTGTTTGTAATAATATTTTCTGAACTAGGAGTCACAAATTTAAATTCTGTAGATTTTCAGCTGTCAGCGTATGTGAAAGAGTTTTAGAGCTGTCATACACAAGAGTAAAAGCTCTTTCAATTCCATTACAGTAGGTTACAAGTGCAGGCACTGGCACTTTTTGAAGTTTGTCATTTTCAAGCTTTGAAAAGTTTATTCTTCTGCATGGCAATGAGGAACTAAATCTGGGAAGTCAGAAGCAGCCACCTCAGTGGCTGAGTCTCCTGGATAAGATTTAATCTGATCAAATGTACTGGAGTGCTTTAGTTGTTCATGGAAAGAATTGAACACGAGACACTTGTGCAAAACTGTTGATGAATAAAGATGTCGCAGTAATTTTTACAGGTGAGAGCTATCTATTTGATTGCTTCAGCTTTAAGGTAGTTCATCACAGTAATTCACCCTGTGTTGCCTTTTTAACTTCCTACCACAGTTTCCCATCAGTGCGATTAGAAATGGCAATGCCTTTATCAGATTAATCTTTCTTTCTGTTTCTTCCTTTCAGTATCTCTGACCCCAGGACAAAACAAAGCCCCCCGTGCAGCCTGTGCTGCATTGGCGGTAGTACTCATAGCTTAGGATCTGGAGCACAGATGGAGGTTAAACCCAACACTTCCAATTTTAATTGTTTGGTACACATACAATTTTCATATTCTTAAGAAAAAAACCTCAAACCACTTCTTTTCCATTTCTAAGCAGCTAGCTACTTGCCAGAAACCTTGTTACACAAAACCAGGTCTGTTAATTTTAGTAGATAAATAAGCATCTGCAAAATTAATTAAGTAGCAACCCATTACTTGCCAAGTTTGGATTTTCAGGTTCTTTTTCTAATTATGTTTCATAGGGAACCCAATATTTTTCTTTAACTAGAGTTAACACAGAATTTATGTTATTTGTGGGCATGTAACATCCAAACTATTTTGTGTGGCCACACTATAATCTCAGAATCCTTTCATTTTTCCTTAAGTACATTTGGCACTTACTCAGTGCATTTATACAAATATTTTGATAATAATTCTAGTGGGACCTTTACCAGTTCTTCCATTATGTAGAGACTTTCAGTTATTTTCATTACTCCCTTAAACTGCATGTAAACACATGCAGGAGTTAACAGAGGATTAACTTGAATATATTTTTAAATATAAAAACATAAAAATCTCTGAAACTCTGGATAATTCTTAACTGCATTTTTTAGTTTTAACTCCCATCCAGATGCTGCACAGTCCAGGAACTTTTGTGAGCATAGGCTAAAGAACCTGCTGCTGTGTTTTTTCTACACATGGATGAGGCTGACAGAGGAAAATCACAATACTGGAAGGAAGATCGAGTAATAATTTGAGTCAATCTTGTGACACCTTTAGCATACTGGAGTCCCCTGATTATGAAGGAAGCTCAGAACACATCATCTAGTGCAAAGAACACCAGTAGGTTTTTCCTATGTAGAGGAATTGGACACCATGAACAAGTAAAAAATAATTTGGAAGTGAATGCTAGCAACTCTGCAGTATAAAGGAAAAGAGATAAAAGATAAATTTTAGCTCTGGGGTAGACCTAATTTCTGTGACACTGGGATGGACTACCACATCCATTTGGTAAACCTCAGTGACAAGCAAGTGAATGTGTCAGGAAAAAGAAAATTTTGGTTTCCTCTCCTGTGCTCCTTTTGCTGTTTTGTATTTTTTTCATATAGAAAACTTAAAGCTTTTATCTAAAATTAATTAAAACCAAAATTTTGTTATTTTTATTCACTGTAATAATACAGTGAACAAGATAGTAAGAATTTTGATGATGTCATTATGTAGCCAGTCTATCAATATAAACACTAAGTCATTGTGTGATTTTACTTTACTCCAATTTTTCTTACTGATACAGTATAATATATCAATTTCAATTACCAAATTACCAATTTTATAATGTATTTGAGTAATGTTTTCTCAGTCTTTTATTTACTGTAGATTTTTCTTATTAATAAAATTATTGTTTTATAACATTCCAATACTGAATGGTGTGTGCTTTAGATAAGATTTTTCTGTTTTATAGGGGATGTTACAATCTATTTGCACAGTACAAAACCTTAGCAACTATATATCAGTCTTCAGGAAAAGAAGTGTAATTAATCACGACAGTAAACATATTTCAGTCAATTGTAGTTGAACAAATGTGAATAGTAAAACTTATGTAGCCAAACTACACCAGAGTGACTCAGTTGCTGGTTTTATGCAATAACAAAATAATGGCCTTCAGCATGCAGGGAGAGATGCGTTATCCTTGCTTTTCAGATGCAGAAACACAAATATATTTTTGATTTGGGCTGATTTAGTCCAGGTGCACAGACGTAAAAAATTACTGTTGAGCTTTTTGTACTGCATGCCTGAAGAGGCTCATCCAATACCCTTAAGAAAGCAGCACCTACTGAGAGGAACTTGGCATAGCAGCTCACTAACAGAGTGTCTCTGGCATGTCACTTAGATATCTTTGTCTAATGTAGGAAAAGCCAAATAAGAACGTTGTTGTTCATTTCTAGATCTGATAACTGGCCTACATGCCAGGTGCTAAGGATTCAAAGCCTCTGTGCTTCTGAGCAACGTTCTTTGGGTTCAGCCACCACTGGGGATCACACCACTGTGGATCAAGTAATTAAAATGGAACAGTGATGTGCTAAATGTTGGTCACAACATACATCATGAGTGTCATGGATATTAGAAAATGTCTGGTATCATCTTTTCTTACCAAATATACCTGCTGTTACTCAGTGGATTAAGGATCTTTCAGTTTTGCTGCCCAATAATTTTGTTTGACTCCTGTATAGCTGATGCTGCAAACACAGAAAAATCTCTTAATTTAGGTAATTTAAGAACTGTCTTCTGGGCTGATCCAAGATGTTCTCCACACTTTTAAAAGAAAACATTTAGCTTCTAATGCCCTCTAGAGGCAGAATTGCTATAATAGTGGTGACCACAGATTTACTCTACACTTTTCTGGTCCAACTGTGATGCTGTAGCTTTCAAATAACAACTTTTTTTTTTGTTATTTTGTTTTGTTTGTTTGTTTGTTTGTTTGTTTGTTTGCTTCTTCGTTTTTTTAAGTAAGTCACATTTCACAGTCCTGTAGGAGCAGATGTCTAGAACCATTAGGGGCTCTGCAACTCCTTCTGGACACATACTGGTTGTCTCCAGCTGAGATGTGGCCAACTTTACACTGCAAAGCAGGATGCTGATGCTTGTAAACTATAAGCGAGTCTGACATACCAATTCTTGATATTGAAGAAGACTCTGAAAGCATCAAAATTAAAAAATATTTCATGCAGTTTGCTGTTATTCCAAAGGATGTGTCTGCAATATGCCTGTTCTGCAATAAATCTTTTTCCTCAATTTAATTAATTTAGGAGCTCTGCATATTCAAGTTTATAAGAAACATGAGGAGCTCTGTCTTTTATCAGCAGCCATGGGATCCTATACTCAGAATAGCAGGCACTGAAAAGCAGAAAATATGTGTAATTCCTTAATTTTAAAATCTGGATTACTGTATATTAAACCAGAAAAACTACAACCACAAAAATCCACGTAATCAGAAACAGAACTTAAGTCTTGAAGGTTTTTTTTATCTTAACTCCATTTGTAAAACATGTATTTGTTTCTGGTAGGCCTGGAAAAATCTCAGCAAAGAAGCTCAGACAATGCAATGCTGGTTTGGGTTCGTATTCTTCCATCTTTTAATAGTTCAGCTCATTAATGAGAAAATCATCTGGCTGCTGGCACAATCAGATACAGTCACTTATCAGTACATTGAGTTCAGTTTATAGTACTCCGATTCATATTCATGACCAGAGGATGCAGCGGGGCAATTCATTAGCACA